GCTAAACGAGCATTTGTCTCCCAAGAGGAGAAAGGAAAACAGTGGGTATCAAGACAACAGGCATTTTTTCAGCATCTTATCTGATGCCAAGATACAACAGGAACATGGTCTTCAAGACTTCTCATACAGAACAGCTGTTCAGTGAAATACGTGTGTATAGGCAGGAAAGGGCACACTCACTTCCTGAGCAGCACAAACCGTTAGCTAATTTCTTGAAGGTTTAGGTTGTTTCAAGTATTTCACATCTTGAAAGGTCAAGAGCTTCAGTAACGGGGAAAAGCCCTAGAGCATATGTCTAAGCGGCCTTCTCTGCAGAGTGCACATTTGGACGGCATTTATCTTGAGGCTATCAATATTTACTAAAGATGGCTATAACAGCACCTTGCTCTTGCTGCATTAGTCATGAAGGACACAGACCACAAAAACATGAGAGCAAATGGACTTGTACTTAGTGCAAGCTTGTTGTAAAACCCCTGGGATCCCCCTTCTCACACAGGACTTTTCATAGTGTCACAGGGTCAGAAGGTAATTCAAGTTTGAAGAGACACTAAGTCTTTACTCCAACCTCCTGCCCACAGGGTGAGCTCTGAGGTCAGATGCAGTTGCTCAGGGTTCCACACAATTTGGTCTTGAAAATCAACATGGACAGTGATGGTACATCCTTTCTGGGCAAGCTGTTCCATTACCTGACTCCCTTCGCAGCAAAAGTTTCTCCTTATATCTAGTCTAAACCTCTCAATTCATCTGCTGTGTCTCATTGTCCCTTCATGCATGGCTGTGAAGAGCTTGGCTCCACCTTCTTGATGACTTCCTTGTAGGCACTGCCAGGCTGCTGCTGGGTTCCTTCTCCAGGTTCAACCACACTATTACAGCCATTGTATGGGGCAGCTGTGGCTCACAGCCTGGGACCCAGCAATCCAGGGACACTTGTGGCATGGGTGTCTTTAGCTTTTTTAACAGGGGTAACAATCCATGCATGAATTCAGCACAAGAAAGCATCCACATGCATGGAGTGATCCAGAAGCAGAGGAAACGCCAGCTCCATTTCCTTATTTAAGGAAAGTAAGTAAAAGATGACCAAGCAGGAAATTTCAAGTATGACTCTCGCTTTTGTATGTTTTTTTTTGTTGTTGTGGGTTTTTTTTCCCCTGCTTTAAGCCTGCTTGAGATGGGATTAAAGCAAACTCCCAAAGGCAAATCCTACCAAATGCCACAGGGATTATATTCCACCCCTCCCCATTTCTCTGACCAGCATTCCTAGATTTTCTGCACCCTAAGTTTAAGAGTCAAGGTATCCAAATCCATCTCCATGATTGGGTTTTTTTATTTCCAAAGCTAACCTTTTTCTTCCTGTCAGGCTTTTACCATTTACAACATGAAATAAACTAGGTGTTCCCTACCTCATTTTATTTCAGTGCTGATCACATCACTAACTGCACCCAGGTCTCTGTAGGAACTGGCCTGAAGGGACCACAGAGCTGCTGCCAGACAACTGAGCTGCAGGACTCATGTTTAGAAATAACAGATCTTTCCACTTGTCTGCTTTAGGAACCACTGTGGAGTCTTCAAGGAATGTAAGTGTCATCTGAAATGCAATCACGGAGCAAAACTGCAATGAACTTAGCACACTGATTGAAACCAAAACTGAATGCTCTATAGCAACCACTCTGACTGCATCCAGCAGAGACTAGCTTCCATAAAAGCAGCTGGCTGTCCAGTTCTTTTGAAACAGGCCACTTATTTAGGCACCTAGTTAGAGAATTGGGAGGTTTTTTCCAGGCAGTGTTGGCATGCATGCGCATGTCTCAGTGATCATTTATTTTATTTCAATTTTCATTGCAAATCATTTATGCTTATTCTCAAACAAAATGGCCATCAGGCAGAGCAGGAGACTAAGGAAATTACCCAGAACATAATAGAGAGCAATAGTAGCAGTTAGTATCCAATGCATCAGCAGCAGAACGCACACACTTGGATTATTTATGAAGAGGTGGTGCTGTCTGAAGCAGATGCCCAGCTGCCAACACACACATTTTATCATAATGCCCATGATACTTACAGGTTTTCCTAAATCTTCACCTACTGGAATCATGGGGATTGAGAGTTTTAGATTCTTAAATGCCCCAATTCCCAAGTCAGTCTTACAAGCTAGGGGGCTGATACACACCTGTTGGACACACAGCATCAGCTTGAATAAGGAAATGTGTTCTCCAAAATACACCAGGTATCCCTTTAAGGCTGCAATTAGGGTCTGATTTAAAACCACCTCCAGGCAACCTTCAAGTTTTGCAGGCATAATTATGTGCGGATGCAAAGCTAGAGGTTGTTTATGAACAGGAGGCCTTTAATGTTTTATTTTCTGGCTGCACGTCCTGTTGTTTTCTGTATCATAGAATCTTAGAATATCCTGTTAATATCCTGTTAATGTAGACCTTTTCCCAGCTTTAATGCTAAGCTATTCCCAAGCAGGGCACTGGGCCACAAAGTATAATATTCCTCTTCCCCTGCAGATCTAGAAGGTTCTGCTCAAAATAGAACCTAAACCATGGCTCAGACATACCCTGCTGCAACCAGCATGGTTAGTGGCTAACGCAGAGGCCCACGATTTCTATCAGCATCAGTCCTGGCCAGCCTACTGCGATAGGAAGGCAGCTCTTACCTGGACCTTTTCTGTTAAGCGCAGTTCTGGGCTGCTCCTGGCTGATGGCCATTCTTCTCAGAATTTGGGATTACAGGCATAAAGCAGAATTAGATCCTATTAGATTAGGATTACTGAATTAGATCCAAGGTAGGATAGACAAAGTGACATACCCTGGGTGCAGTACTGCCAAGCTAGACAGTTGACTGTCTTATCCATAGCCTCATACAAACTCCAGGCCTATGGATGCTGCAGCTGATGTGACTCTGCAACTACACAACTAGAGTCACTGCAGCAGTGGCTAGGACAAGCCGGGGTGGGGTGGAGAGATGCTATTGCACAAACTCTTGCTAAGTCCATAGGAGCTTCTCTACAGCAGACAGAACTTGGCCCAAGCGAGTAGCACAAAGCTTCTGTAGAGCTATCATTGTAGAAACTTGACCACATCAATAAAGAATCCAACCATGCCCGTTATTTACCCTCCATCTGCTCATGCTGCCCAAGATGTATCACTGCTTGCAAGTATCTCCTTTTCCCCACAGTTAGGCACCAGCACACAGCTGGGGTACCCACAGGTCTCTGCAGCAATCACCCCTTCACTTAGTTAGAGCTGTGAAGGTCAGCATGACCCTTACCAGGTTTGAGGACTCTGAAAACTTCACTTGTGGAAAACAACCAGAGGATGAGTCACATTATGAATGCATTCATTTCATTCATGCAGACCTTTCATTTCATATAAGGGAGAATGGGGACAGACATATTCATGAACAAAGGGCCCCATCATGACCCTGCCTGCAAGGGAAAAGCATCAACACTGCTTTCTGTAGGCTGTGGCTTCCCAGGGAGACCAGGTGCCCAGTGAAGAGATTTCTATTGTTTAACTTGGGAGAGACAAATTCACAGCCTGAGCCAATGTATCAGTGAAATGAATTTTTTGCTATAACATAAAGGTTAAACTGCAATAAAGTTGCCAAGGCATCAATTCAATAATAGAGATATATAAAGGCCATCTTTTTGCTAGAGTAATTTGGCCAAACTGCACAGATTTTCCAGTTTATACTAGCAAAATATTCAGACCATGGTGACAGAGCAATGTGGTCTTAGAGTACAAAAACAGAGCTGATGGATAGCTACATGCCCTGGCTACTCATCAGGCTCAAATTAACCATCTGAGATACGAGGATGAATAACTAGGGGCAAAAATGTAACTGCCATCATCTTAATATTAGGACTGGTCTAAGTATTTCATTACCAAATCATTACTCTTGAACACAGCCTCACACTGTGGGAAAACTCTGATTTTATTTAATTGGAACAAAGTTCTATTGGCTGACCAATTGGGTATACTACTATAACTGATTTTTTAATATCGGTGTAAGTATATAACCTCTTTCTTCTGCTGCTTCTCTACATCTTAGAAGTTCCAAACCAACATCTGGATGTCAGCTTGTACTAGGGGTGTCCTGTTCTGGAGCATCATCTCTCCATCCCCAGGGATGCGCTGGTTAGTAAGATGATTTCACATGCTGGGAATTAAGTGTTTTTTCTCCTGGCACCTGCAAGCTGCACACCATTACTGATGTGGTCAACACAAGAGCAAGCAGGGACTTTCACACACTTGCAACCCCTACCTTAAGGCAGCATGAGCAGTGCTGAGAAGGAGTGAGCAACCCATGCCCAGGAACATGCATGCCAAAGGCAGGAAAGCATAGGAAAAAGAAGCCTGTTCCCTGAACCCTGCTTTCCTCTCTATCTTCTGAGTACCTCCATTCCTGCAGCAAGGGGAGCAAACTAGAACTGCAGAGAGGTTTAGCTTTCTTATACTAGAGGTTGGGAGGCTTGGCTCCCAGGAAGCACCTGCGCTTAGAAGAGATGGCCCACATATGCATTTCTGATGGGTTTGTCAAGGCTCCAGTGAGATGTGCAGCTGATCCTCAGCATCTGCTAAAAGCCCTCTGATTTAAATCAGCTATTTGGATGACTGGGCTGCAGGTGAGAGATTTCTGGCCTTGTTGCTCGTAGGGGTGTGGTAGACCTGAATGGAGAAGGAGTAAGAAAGACTGCTGCCCAGGTTTCCTCATATCTGTTACTACTTTATGACTTCTGTGTCCTCTGTAATCAGGTGGAGCAAAAAGGAGTTTTAGGGCCTTGAGCTACCAAAATGACCCTTCCATCCTGAGGCAAGCAGCTCAGGCAAGCTGCAGCCAACTCAGCCTGTCACTGTGGTGGATTACTGCTGATGGGAGTAATCCACCTTGACATGCCAGGCCAGGAGTGGGCTGACATGTCCCTGCACTCAACCCTAATCTCCCTTGACTTTCTCTCAGCTCAAATCAGAGCAGTGTGGTTCCCAGGCTCTCACCTTGCTATCAGTGGTGACTGCAGCAAAGACCGTGGAGGAGTAAGGGGCCCATGCAACATCTCCTACACCAGAATTCAGGTCATAAACAAACATCGGAGTCCTGTAAAAAGAAGAACCAGAGAGACCTCTTTTATACACATGCCGCTCTGGAAGTGAAACATTGAGTTACACTGATGCTGCAGCCTGTGTCGAAGGCCAGCTGCAGAAGTGGGAGATGGGTATTTATGTTAGATAACAGCTATCATCTGAGCCAAAGACAAAGCAAAGCTCAGTATCAACTCAAATGGGTCAGGATTGGTCTTGCTGTGATCAGAAGAAAAAGTGTTTCTTTCTGAAAGCACTTTAAAAGCTTCCTCCGAACACACACAGCAAGATGGAGTCTCTCTGGTTTACAATCATATGGGAAAAAATGACTTTCCCTCTCTGGACTTCTGACAACAACACTGAATATTAGAGCAGTATTGGCAACAGAAAATATTTGACTCTGACTGATATACAAAAAAAATCAATTTCCTGATTGAAACCAGACATTGCTCAACCACTAACCCTGAACTTCATTATGTATTTTGAACTATTCCAATTTTTATTTTTTTTTATTCTATTTTTTCCTCTCTGACTCTTAGGAGGTGTCTGCCCCTGAGGCCATAAGCCAGCCCCTGATATTTCTCAATAGCATTTCTCCAGAAGAATAACCCCGTCACAGTAGGTCCTGCCTGAAAAAAGCCAGGTCCAAAGCAAAGCAGCCAGGCTCTGTGCTGAGCTGCAATGCTTGGCAAGTTCCTGGCGTGGCCAATGCTAAATTTCATACCTGGGGAGTCAGTAGCCCCAGAAACAGAAATAAGAGAGTAATAAGCAATACGAAGACCTAAGAGGGAAACTGAGGCTAAGGTATAAGCAGAGTCGATATCTGCGGCTGGCATGTCAAGCTGGACCTCCCTGCCCATGCCAGAACCCAGCAGGACCTACTTGATGGTGTGATCCCAGATCTTGACTGTCCAGTCAGAGCTACAGGAAATGAAGACTTTCGGGTGGTAGGGATTCCAGCTGACAGAGTCCACGGCCATGTGATGGGCTTCAAACACATCCAGAAATTGGCTTGAATAGCATTTTGAACACTGTGAAGGAAAGAACTAGTCAGTAATCAGAGCTAGACCTTCTTCTGAAGCTCATATTCCTGCAGAAAGATGCTTCTGAACACTTATATGGCCTCCTAGGCTCTTCTGGGCTGGCTGGAAAGTGGTGGCTGATACCACTACAGAAACAAAATCACTTACCACGTGCTGTTTCACCTCACTTCCAGGCAACACCGAGCTCCCCTCTGCAATACACAGAGGTAGGAATTAAGTTTTCTCGTTGTATTTAGAACCATAGCCAGGCCCCTGAGCCATTTCTTCACTGCAGGAGTTCCACCACCTTCCTGTGAGCTTGGGTTCCTGCCATGCCCCTGAAAAAGGCTCTCAGGAAAGGCAAGGGAAAACATCTCTTGTGTGGCTCAGCAGCACACAGCACCGTGTGCATTTGAAGTGTCGCAATTAAGACCTCTAGTAACAGTGCTCACAGCACAAGAATGACCTATTGGACTCTCTGCCTCTAAAGATTTTGGGAACATGCCAGAAGTGCCTTCCACGCTATGAAGCTGCAACAGCCTGCTCTGAAAGCCTGCCCCATCACACAGCTCTGCAGTTATTCCTCTTGTGCTACTTGTGACTTCCCAGAGGGGTGTGAGAAACACAAGAGGTTGGCCAGCACTCAGGCATGTCCCCAGTGGGCAGGGGGCAGCCGCCTGTAAACTGGGCAAACCCTGCACACGCATGTGAGGGTCAGGCCAGCAGTGTCACAGCTGATGAATGGCAAAACGTAGGATGTGTGCAAGAGCCGGAAAACATTTGGGAGCCTTTGAAAAGACACTCTTTGTGTGAGCTTATGAAGGGTGGGAGAAATTACAACCTGCTGTCTGCATGAGCAGAACACGGGACTTGATCCAGATCCTGTCAGTTCTGCGTACACAGGAAAATTAGGTTATACTCCTCAAACCTCCTCCCCACTGAGGGGAATGGAGGCTTCCTTTGTTAGCTACAAGGACCTCATCTCACAAGTAATACCCTCTTGGTTGTGTTCCTTCACACAAGCTGTATTCATACAGTAGGTTGGGGTTGGTTTCTGCCTTGATACTGCCACTACAAGGACTTTTCAGCACCTTTCATTAATCCCTAATGAATGCAGCAACACGACATCTGTCCAAGCAGGATCACTGAAGTGTTATTTGACTTTACTTCCTGCAAACCAACTCTCTTAATAATCATAAGACTTAACTGTTTATTACACATGGCACTCACTGGGTATCCAGAGCTGTTTTTTCTGATGTCCTTGTGCACTGGTACTGGATTGAGGGTGCTAAACTAGTCACACAGCAGTAGCTATTGCATCCCTGGGAGGCTTGCTGTGGTAGGAAACAGAAACAAGGAAGTTGTTCATGTCCCACTGAGATTTACTGACAGTGTCTATATCTTGCTAACCATTTGGTGCATACTCTGTCTCTGAGTTACTGTCCTTGTGTGTAATTATGGGACTGAAATGTCCTTTAATGGCATGTTTCATAACTTTACTTCATAATTCTTAATGTTCAGCCACCAGGAAAATTGGTACTTGGCCTCTTTTGGAAGTCATTTTGCTGTGAATAGACAGAATGGGTCATGAGTAATTAACACAAGAGAGAAGCTGCTTTAGCCATCTGTCCTTCCAAGTATGTGGATTGAAGGTCTGTAATACCTGAGGACTTTGAAGAGTGAGATACTAACCAGATTTGTCTGCATCCACCAGAACAACATGTAATGCTCAGCACTCTGTTTTTAAAGCCTTGTTGGGACTGAGCCTCTCACCAGTGCAACTCTCTGGGCACTTGTATGGGAGCCCTGTCATGCTCTGGGATGTGCTGATCCACAGCACTGGCTTTGCAATCTGCAAGTCTGGCCCAGAGCTGAGGTCCAGGTCCTGAAAGGAAAGGGATCTATAGTTTTCCTATGAATTCAGCAGCAAAAAGGGTTCTGTAGGGCAGATGCCTAACTTCTGACAAGGTAGCTTCAAAGAGGATGAGCAGATTCAGGGAGCAGGCATTTGTGCAGCCTGTCTGACCTTCTAGAGCACTGCTCCAATTTGCTGAGAATGATTTTTTCTCCTATTTAAATGGTGGTAGAGTGTGTGAATAGTAAATGGTATTTTTATGATGAGATGGGAAAGCAAGCATGTGTCTACACCAATACAGGAAATCAGCATGAAGATGATTGGTGACAGGGCTACAAAACACGGGGGAAGAATTCTGGGAGGAAAGGAGAACTCCAAGGACAGAAAACTTAAAAATAATCTTTCTCAACAGCACTTCAGTTTATGCTAGATGTTAGCCTGATGCAAAACTCCTCCGCATCCATCGTGAATGGATGGTTATTAACGTCCTTGTAATACAGAGCATTTCTTCAGTTCACTAACAGAAACACTGAGACTCCCTGGTTTTTGCTCAGTGCCTTCTTGTAGAGATCTGCAACAGAAATGCTAAGATTTGTAAAAAAGGCTTATGAATGGAAAAAAGGCATGTGAATGCACTGGGAGAAACAGCAGGAAATGGTAAAAGAAAGAACCCGTATTATTTGATGGCAAAAGCAGTCAGTCAAGTGACAAGGTAACAAGACAGAACAAATAGAAGCCCAAAGACAAGGTGGCGAGAGGAACACTTCACCTGCAGCTTCGTCCTGGCTAGGTGGTCTATAACAGACTCCTACCAGGACGTCTGCTTGCTTGGCCTTCACCCAGATCTTCCCCCACAAATAGCGTTTTCACTCACAGCACTGAGTTCAAAGAATCACCTTTTCCTTCTACACAGTCTTGCACTGAGTTTTATTATATTCATTTGTTACACTCTCAAACTGCCTAAGACTGAAAAAACCCTTTCTTACATGAATATGTTCTAATCTCATCACATTTTTTCTGCTGAAGCCTGTTTATTAAGAAGTAATTCTGACCAAAGAGCTGAAGCCTCAATAATGTTTCAATATGAATCGCAGAGACCCTATCTTTTATTACCAAAGCTGAACAATTCCTAAACAGCAAGTAAGATATGCAAAGAGGCAGTTTTGCATTACAGACTCTTACTAATGCAGAAACAGTTTGTCCTCTATGAAAAAGGGTGATAGGTCTGTGTGTAATTAAGATAATGATTTCTTGGCTTCAGAAATGCTATTAACTAAGCCATTTTAAAAATTTCACCATAATTGTTCTGCAGCTAAAGAATTAACATATTATCATTCTATTTGTGGACGTGCCTGGCCTCTGAAAAAACACCTTCCTGAAATTCACTTTCCAATTTGTGTAATAAATAATCTAAAATCCAGCCCATGTGGACAACAGCCCATGTTTGATCCCTGACTCATACCTCATGTAAGGAGACTGTCCCTCTCACTCCACGTGCAGTGGGCAAGGGCAAGTGCAGTACAGAGACCTGAGTAGCTCAACTCCTGCTCAGTGCAGCCACAGGACCCAAGAGCTGCTCAAAGGTCCTCAGCACTGTCACTGTCTTCAGCATCCAAGCAGAGGAAGGCTCTGGGAAGCAGCGCACAGGTAGCTCCAGTAATGGGTTCAGACATAGAATTGTTTCAGTAAAGGGTGTGATGAAAGTGAATGGTAGTACTTCAGAAATGTCTGGAGCAATTGATCCCAAAGCTTTTGAAACTCAGGAGATGCTAAGGCTGCAAGCAGTCTTCCCCCTGGTTTTGTGGATACTATAGAGGCCTGCCTGTGCTAGACACACTATTTCTCTTCCATGTGTTAGCCCATACAATCTGATTCAAGACTGCCCTTCCTGTCCACGGGAACACCTGAGTTTTATAGGGCAGTGTTGCACAATGTGAGCCTGGGCCAACTTTCACCAAGACTTACATGAAATTCCAGTGCAGGAATGTTTTGTTGCTTACCATAACCTTGAAATCAGACTTAGTACCCATAAAATAGAAGGACCTGTACAACAGCATTTCTGCATTTGTCCACCCAAGAAGTAGTTAAAATATCTGGTTTCATGGCAGGGATCACTCCTTATGGTAAAATCCCATCCTAGTTCTAGTTTCACAGATGATCATCCAAGGCAGGAATACCTACAGCTTTGTCAATGCAAATGCTGCTAAATTCTGCTCCTGTTCAGTGCTACTCCATGAGGGACTTCCTTTGCTATGTAACTGAGCTAGGACACTAGCCTGAACATACCTTCTGAAGGGTAATTGATGGTCCCCTTCAGGACAGACATGCACTGTCATACTCACTGACATCCATCACTCACCTAAGCACAGAGGAAGTTAAAACATGTCATTCCCTACTGCCTTTTGATCAGGACTAGATAAAACAGTACCCAAAAAATTTGGCGTACAATACCTAGTGTGCCAACTGCTGTGGGTGACCAGCCAACTCAGGACATCTGCCCATGACTGGACAGATGCTTTGTATCCTGAAAGCATCAACAAAAGGCCATTGCACCTACCTCACTGCCCATCACCCACCAGCCCAGCCTCCCACCTTCCTCCCACATCCCTTCTTCCTGCATCTGTCTGGTGCAATGCCAGTGAGCACTACTCAGAAATCTTCCCTAGATACTTCCTGGCAGAGGGAGAGATTTCAATCAGCATTATCCCTGTGGAAGGGCTATATATTTGTTAAGTCCATCTTGCCTAAATGATTGATACTTATTTCAGAAATACTATTTCCTTTGGGTTCTTTTTCTCTGTTTTGTTTCCCTTTTGCAGGCAGGACATGGTGAAGGAGCTTACAGCATCCTCTAGGGATGTCTGGATGGATCTGCTCTGCACGTCAGCCTCCTGCTGGTGGCCCACCCCCCACATAGAAGGCATGTGGCTACAATATTAACAAAGCCCCAAACCTAGCTCAGAGGAATGCTGTGCAAATAAAGTTATATGAGTAAGCAGCTACTGGCTTTATTTTCAAGGCTATATACAGCAGAGCTCAAAACTTTCTATTTTCATCTTGATTTCTTAAGAAAACACGATGTCTGTGTCCTGCTGCCTGCTTGTCTCTCCTCCCAGACAACTTCTGATCCCACTGGCAACTTCAGGCAAAGCTGTGACTTGGCAATATTAAGGCCTTGCCTGTTCTGTAAAAAGAAATGGCCATAGAGCACAAACATCTGGCAGTGTCCCCATCCCAGGAAGGGCAAACAAAGCTTGGCTACTACCCTCATCACGTCTGGAGCTGGCTGGCTGCAGCTCACCCCTGGCACTGAGCACCAAGGGGGCAGGCTGTACAAGGGCACTGGAGAGGAGGTAGACAGCCCTGTCTGAAGGAATCAAGGGTTATAGCATGCAGGTGGGATCACTGAGCTGGGGATAGCATGCGAGTGACCAGAGAAAGGAATGATTAGAGTAGAGAGCAAGGAAATGGAGGTAACAGTGAAAGGAAAAAGTGGGGCTGGGGAAAGAATCTGGGATGTAATTGTGGAAGGGAAGGAGCTGTGGGACACTGGTCCGTAGGAAACAAGGCTTCATTAGCCTCACTGCTCATGGGATAACAGGTCTAAAAAAGAAAAGAGCTGAGATTTTTCCTACCGTTCCCCCACAGCCACGATGACAGAGGATCAGCACCTTTTAACTTTTACTCTGATCATAGCTGACCCCTCGCTTGCACAGCCACAATCTGCAAAGCATTCTGGGATGCAGTTTGCATGAAAAACATTCAGAAAAATAAGGTCTTAATTGGGTCTGTGCAGAGAGCTCCCCGCAACCCTTTGTGTCTCTGTGCTGGTCTCAGGCTCACCACAGCGATCTGAGAGCACAACCGGGCTCTGAAGTTTCACATTATTACTGCCCGAGCAAACAGTTAAGACAATGAACCTAAAAGACAAGCACAGGTCAGGGGATGTAAAACAAGGGACAAAGAAACTCTTCTTACCTTATAGATCTTCCCCTCTTCAGTACCAACGAGAAACAAATAGTCTATCTTTTTGTGAAAATCAAATGATGTCCCACAGCCTGGTAACAGAAGAAAGGTCTGTCAGACAGAGAATTGGTTCATCTGGCCAGCACACACTCCCTGCCTATGGTACACACACTGCCAGGGTTTTCAGGAGTGATTTATCAGCCAGAAGCTCCCAAGAGAAATTAGAGCCACCCCTTCTGCATACACTTATAGACCTACACTATGCTGTGCCTGTCCCCAAGACCTGCAATTTGAAGAGCCGACATAGAAAAAGGGAAAAAGGAACTGTAAGAACTGAAAGGGAACTGGAAGAACAGATTGACTAAGGATTCTCTTAGGTAAGTGAATCCCTGGCCAAAAGCCTGTTGCAAATGTAAGAGTCATGAGGAGCAGGCCTGCCTCCTGTTGGGGAAGAACAGACCTTTTCTATTTGTTTAGTATTCACAGAAAGTATAAATGGTTTCTTATGCATAAAAGAGCCCAGAGAGGAAACACCACATCACATCTCCTTTTTCATCTTTAGCTCAGAAGCTTAGCAGGCTCACTTCAGTAAAGCCAATAGCAAAGGATGTGATTTGGGAAGAAATCTTCTGGATCCTCCTAACTTCAAAAGCCCTGAATGGAGCAACATTGCAAACTGTATTTAAAAGAGGTGTCAACCACAACAGGATGTGAGTCCTTGAAACTTTGTGGCTTCTGTTCCTGAGGCAGATGCAAAATCATCCAAGAAAGCCAATTCGGATGGTGGGGAAAGAAAATTTCAGCAGGGTCCTTGAGCAGAAATGGGATGTCAGCAGAGTGCCAGACCAACCTGGGGCTGTTGACCAGCAGGGACACCCAGACCAAACATCAGATGATAAACAAGCAGACAAGGCTGAGAAGCACATAGTTACAGAGAACTTTCTGCAAAACCACCTGTCTTAAACATTATGTCTTAAACATTAACAAAATGTAGTCCTCAAAGGAATTTTTAAGGTTATTCAACTCTGTAATACTGTCTGCATTTTTAACATTTAAATAGATTGTTAAATATTCAAGACAAGTCTTTGAGAATCTATTTCACAGAAACGGTAACAAATAATCCTGAAGCCCCTGGGAGTTCTGCAGTGTACTGCTTTCACTGGTCTCCTGCAACGTATGCAAACCTTCTTACAAATCGTTCAGGAGTTATTGTGTAGAAACATAGCAATCCTTAAATGCAAAGTGCTTTCTTAAAACCCAGGCGAGAGCTTCACAGCCAAAAGCAGGTGCAATAGGATGATTGGGAGATTTCTCAAGGCTCCCTGTGTAGTCCAGGACCTCCAGAGCTGACTCATCCCATCTTATCCCAAACACAGGATGGTCAGGCTGAGGTGATTCAGCGTAGAAGGACTGCACTGTCTCTACTTTGTACAGAGGGAGCCTAGCATAGTAGCTCAGAAGAGATGTTGTGCTTTTAGAGATCCAAAACCTTCTGAGGTTCATCACCGCTGGCTGGATGAGCTGTACACCCAGGAAAGGGCAAAGGCTGCTTTTCATCTTGATTTGGCCAGTCCAGATCCATGGATCTGGAAGAACATAACTGACACAGTTTTGACAAATACAGGTAATGCCTGTGTCTTGTCTACACAGGGATATGCCAGTAAAACCATCATGCTTTGAACTGACATTCATCTTTCTTCTCCAAGTACAAGCAAGGTGTAATCAGCAAAATTTGACTCAATTAGCAGCTATTGCTCCAGACAGACTTTGCCTTACTACATGATGAAAGCAAGGAGGTGTAACCCTTCTTTAGCTCCTTTCCATCTCAACACCCTACTCCCAATTTAATTCCCAGAATGACTGACTAGAGGCTTTGTGTCAGTAATTAATCAGCTTGGAAAGGACTTGGGCTCCTACCAAGTGTTTTCAACTGCAGCCCCTCTGGCCCCTGCGCCGTTGTTCCCTCTACTGACAGCTTGATGACATCTGTATGAAGCAGCTCATTCTGCAGGCAGAGGAGATTCCACATGAGTAACACGGTTTACAGCAACAATAGAGAGATATTCAGTAATTTGAAATGGCAAATTTTATGGAGGAATTTTAAAAAGCTGTCCAAATGTTGCTTAATGTTTCATGCTCGCAGTTGGCAACTTGCTAGCGTGCCACTTTTACATAAAACCTCCAGGAAACTGATGCTTTGGCACGCTGGAGCTGAGAGCCACTGGTATATTGCTCAGACACATGCAGCTGACATGGGAAGCTTTGGGCTTTGGGGTGAATGTTTCTGAGTGGAGGTTGACTCTGCCAGCTTAAATCATTGTGTTAAGCGAGACCACCCTGCATGGTTTAAGGTGGGTATTGCATACCATTATGGAGCTGATTAAAACACACACTAATGGATAGTAACTCACCACATTGCCAGTCTTTGCTTCTTACCACCTTCCTATTAACCCCAGAGCAGCCTCAGTTCCCAATAGTTACAACCTCATGGGCTCTGAGATTCAAATAACAAGAACATTTAGGAAGCAGCTCCCCCAGAGGAAAAATGTCCAGTGTTGCTGTTATCAGCAGAGCTCTAAATAGCTCTCATTGCAGGCCACAGCACTGCTGTGTCAGGTGATGCGTGCACACAGGGCAAAAAGGCTGTGCCCCAAACAGTTTACAGTCAAGGTGGAAGACAGAAGACAGATGAAAATAGACACAATGTGGATGAATATGAGGAAACAACGGCAGGGTAAAGATCCATTCTTAGACTAGCATTGGGAATTAAAATACCACTGCAGAATGGAGTTGGTTGTGAATATAAGAATACCCTGGGGCTGATAAAAAGAACAAAGAACTAAAGATTAAATTAGTGAGCAGTGTGGGCTGAGGGCTGGATGTTTTAATGAATCTGCACATTTCCCACTGGAGCACTGTGAGAACAAAACATAACTTCTTAGCTCAGTGAAGCAAGCTTTAGCTGGACCTCCTCTAAGCCCAGAGCAGGACTCAGGTAGAAAAAGAGGTTCTGCCTGGCAAAGTCAATCCCAGGAAATCGCATGTTAGGGAAGATGGGAGAAGACCTCGTGTCTGTTCAGTACGGCAGTCCAGAGGGGACAGTGATCTGCGAGATATTTTTATCATATTTTGGAAGTACAAATTTACAGAAGATTCAAGAAATGTCAAATCCCATAAAATAATGTACTTCCTTCTCACTCATTTGCACTGTTGCACACCAGCATGCCCTGACCTATCAATGGCTGGAACTGTTCTCTGAGAAGCAGCAAGCAGCAGGACTCTGCAGCCTGCACAGTCCTACCTTCTGTTATTGACTCTTCTTGTAGCATGTGGGTTACATCAAGTTGGAGACAGTGGGTCAAGGCAGGAGTGATGTTAAGAAAGAGACATATGTGCTGGAGTATGTGTGCAAGAACTGGAAAGAGGGGTGGCCAGAGCATCCAGTAGCAGAGCGTATTGCACGTGCTGCTCACTGTGTACCCAAATAGGAGTGCCAGTGTGCTGCTGGGAGCACAGTCAGGACATGCTGAGCAGGTACTTGCTTCTGCTCAGGCTCACAGGTCTGCCTGTTCACCATAGAGCATCTGCCCTGTCCAAGCCATGACCCGACCAGGAGTCTGGTCTGAAGAGCAGCTTTGGACCTGCCTAACTCTGGTCACGCTGATATACCCAGTGTGTCTAAGCATGGTCAGACACATAATCTGAGCAGACCCAGAGATGTGTTAGCACACTTATTCTCTGTGCTGGTAGAGTTCTCCTCTGTAACTACACACCATTCTGCAGCCTTTCTCTGAAGATGTGTCCCAGCATCTCCATCTGGAACAGCTTCTGTAGCCTCTCACCTTCACAAAGGATATTACTCGTGCAGACTTCCCTGTTGTGCTGCTTTTAGTTTGTACCCAGCTTTTCCAGCTCCACAGTCTGGAAAATGCATCTGTTCCTGGGGCTGTTTGTTGCCAAAGCCATTTGTATATTCCTCTGGGTAAACAGACTGTCGACAGTTTGGCCTTCCAGGAATACTGAGCAGTAGTAATACATTGCTTCTGCCTAACAATTGTAAAGCACTTTGTAAGCATTAGTGAATTAGGCCTTGCAGCTGCCTGTTTCTCTTTAGTTGTTATTAGCCTCAAGTGATGAAGGAGGCACAGACCTGTTCAGTAATTTAGCTCTAGGTCATGTAGGAGGGGTGAACTACAGCTACTAATCAAATCTGGGATTGCTGAGCATCAGCCTGGGCAGCAGCACCAGGCTGCATCCCACTCTTTGACATGGTTCTACAGCCCTCCTTTTTGACAGGCAAGGTGTGCACACAAGGAAGGAGAGTAGCATCATCCAGCTGCAGAAGTCCTGTGTTCTTCTTGCCATTCGTGATCACCCAAAACCAAGCCAAGACAGCCTAAGCACATGCAGCTCACATGCTGTCTCATAAAGTTTGTCCAAAGTGGTTGTGTCCACTTTTAACAGACAACCACTACGGTCAAGCCGAATCAGCTGTCCCTAGCTAACATGTGATAACTCTTCTATGTAAATCTTTTGTGTGGCTTGCCAAATATTCAGCTGGAAGAAAGAATTTATTAACTTTCTGCTCTCTGCTTTGGAAGTGTCAAACAACTATAAGTGTTTGAAGAAGCTTTAGTTCTGGATAGCCCTGTTAAGAAAGATTAATGAAGGTCTCTTTCATTTTTTCACTATTTGCCCTATAGATCTGAAGAACAAAAAACCTCTGGAGTTTCTTCTATTTTTTCTAAGTAAAACCCAGAGATAGCTCTTTTTGTAAAACTGGAATTCAATCAGATTGTCCATTTCTCCTCTCTGGATACAAACCTACAGATGGTAACAAAATGCCCTTTTCATTCTGTTTCTTTCTTTCCCTGTTGAATCTCTGTCCATAAAAAGAAACCAAGCAGCACCTAAAGCGTTGCTGTTTTCCAGTCCTGCCTGCTAAGTACATGCCAGCTCTGGCAATTCCAGAGGTAACTTCACCTCAAAAATATCTTAAAACCATGCTTTTCACATGGGTGTAGCCAATTTTAAAACAGAAGTGCAAGGAATAAGTAGAAATGACATTGTATTAAGTGGATGCAGGTCTTAGAAGTCACACCAAGGGTGCTTAATTAGGTATATCTACATGCTCAAGGGTTTACAATGTGGGAACACAGTTAAGCACAGATGAATCACAGAAATGTTGCAACAGACCTTTTACCAGTTGAGTTGACATCAAAGTGCATCTGCAGACTCTTAGGCTGTCCCATTTGTGGCATTTCTCTGAAGAGACTTAACGCAGTGTTTCTTGCCTCCTAAGTGGAGAAGGCTGAGCACACTCAGATACTGAGGCTCAGCTGATAGGTTTAACCTGCCAAGTCACCTCAGCTGGATGTCTTTAGCTGAAGACATGTGTTCCTACTTCAGCACAACCCTTTTGGGAATTTCTATTCAGTGGATAAAACAGGAGCTGAGGGCTGGGACAGTGTTAGCCTGTCCCTATCTAGGGAGCTCTGAGAGTTCTTTTGGGAGATGAACTGGGGACACACTTGCAGAAGGGATTTTTGTATCTATAGCTGCATGTATGAACCTGGAAGAGCTTATAAAAAAGAACTTCATAATCAATGCCATCTGCATGTGTGTTCATTAGAAAAGGCTCTCATTCCCAAAGTGAACGTGAGACTAAGCCTTACATGGTGTCCCTGCCCACATCATGGGGGCTGGAACTAGATGATCTTCAGGTCCTTTCCAACCCAAACCATTCTATGATTCTATATAGTGTTAGATATGAATCCCTGTCCATGTCAGCAAGGCCTAAAATATTCAGAATAGACAAGCCTTGCAGAGCATGGTATAACAGGTTAGGAAAATGAGCATCCAAGACCATAAAGAAATTTATTTGCTGGGGAATAAAGAAACAGCTGCTTCAAACTCACAGTTAGGACAATTTGATCATTTTGTAAGTAACAGATTTTGAAATCTTCAAAAGCTAACAGAAAAATGCATGTTGAGATTCAGAGACATAAATCTAAGGGTCATTTAGGGACATGAATGCTAAGTTTCTATGAACATACATACTCAAGGAGAGAGTGAGCAGAGGCAGGGCATGCAAACAAGTTAACAGAAGCTCACAGTGTCATGGGAGGGGGAAACCCTCTGCCTGTCTGATTGCACGTTGCCATCTCACTGCAAATGTGAGCTTACTTTGGGCTATTTTGGCCACAAGGGGAGAAATTTGCACTGTCCCTCTCCTATTCTGAACTGCAATCTGTGGGGGAATATTTTGGGGTTGAGAGTCTTGAAGCCAGGGAAGAAAGCAGACTAGTCTGTCTGTCTGTTGGTGTTGCTTCTGGGACAAGCTAAGTTTCAGAGCAAGGACCAGTCTTGAATTCCTGCAGCTGCAAAGCAGGAAAATGCTCTCATACACCACTGGGTGTTACCAGTGCAGGCAGGGTGAAGATTAGGTCCTGAGCAAGGAGTAGGCTGGTTCCACTCATTTTGGAATTTAACAGCTGTAACTGCACATACAATCTTTTGCTGACGTTTCTTTTCAAAGCTGGCTCTTTGTAAATAAAAAAAAACTTAACGCATCATTGACCTCTGAAGGCAATTGGTTATAATTTGGCTGGGAAAAGAAATTGCCTCCAACTGTTTACCTGAACTAAAGTCCATGAAACAATCCGTCCATCCGAAGAGACAGAGAAGAAGTTCAGATTGTTGTCCATGTCATTCTTCTGCCACTTGACCTTAAAACACAAAGACAATCCCAGTCAGCACAGGGCACTCAGCATTAGCAGGGCAGAGTCTCATGTCCTTAGCAGGGTCTTCTGAACATCTTCCTGGTTTCCACCCCAAAGGCGTACTGCAAGTATGAACATCCTTACCTCCACAGCCAATTCCAGAAGGGCACACAGCACTCCCGTTACTCACTTACCTGCAGGGGTGCTCCAGAGAGGGGGCAAAGCACCACTCCTGGGGACTCTGCACCCACCCATGTCCATCTCCTTCAGCAACAGCAGGAGCATTGACATCAAGGATGGGCCCTGTGAGGTGTCTGACCTCTTCAGGTCTCTGTGCTGTGGCACAACATCATCCCAGAGGTCCGTAAGACATCTCCAAAGAACTCCAGAGGTGCTCAGAAAGTTCCCCAAGACAGCTGAGTACATCACTGACCCTGCACAAACTAACCCCTTCCTGCTTGGCTAATTACTCCAAGTGCAGTGTCATATGCCTACCCTTCAGCCAGACAACCTCAAATTAGCTTTCTGTCTCTATGTGGGGTATAGACAAACCCTTGCAGGCAACATGTGACATGGGTCCTTGGGGCACTTCTGTTTCAGGGACATGAAAATGTCTCCATTAAAATTGAAATCCCCTACACCTTCAGAGCATCTGTCTGCCTTGTAAGGAGATTTGCCTTTTGACTGTGACAGCTGAGCAGGAGAGATTAGAACTCAGATAAATGGCTTACAGTTTAGAAGAGACATTTCAGTTAGACCAAAAGCATTAGGAATGCTCAATTTTCAGATCTGGGAATTCAATCAGATTGAAGGGAAAAGGATGACTTGTCACTGAGCCTGTCAGCACACACTTCTGTGGGCATCTGTCAGTTCAGGATGGGGACAAGCACTTTGTCAGGTTCTGCTGACGTTTTCAAAGGTGTATCTGTTCCTGTCCAAGCAGTGCAGCAGTTACATCTCCCTAAACTTCATCCCATAAACATGATAAATGGGCATGATTGTCCTACAGCTTACCAAATACTTTGTCTATGACCAGCTAGTTATCTGGCACCCATTCCAGAAAAAAAGCAGCATTCTCACTGCTTTACACAGATTGGGTGTTTTGATGATCCTTCCTTGGGAAAAACAGGATTAATTCTGTTTTGTAGAATTGTTTATACTGTGAAGTTCTGTGCAACATAAAAAATCCAGCAAGAGACTCAGCAAAGAGTAAGTAATCTTCTACTGAACAGAACCTAGAACACAGTATTCTGAAAAAGGAAAAATAAAATGTAAAAGGAATCCACCTGAGAGTACATCAAAATGCCAGTTTCATGTCTGTAAGGTGCAACTGAAGAGTCTTGAGTGGCATATACCTTAGAACATCCTTGCATAGGAGACATCCTAAGTCTCCAGGTGGAATCACTTCTGCTATCTGGCATTAAAGGAATGCATAATTCACTATAGTCCAGAACAAAACAGCTAACAATATAAAGACAGGTTCAATGGCACATATGGAGAACACTGATTTTCTAGATAGGCCATTGTGCACAGAACGTGCTGGGTATATCTATTCCAGGAGCATCTCCCTGGGATCATGAGCTTCTGCTGACAGTCATGGTCACCAGCAGCTGCTTCACGTGAAGGGGCAGGTGTAGTGAGGAGTTTTAATTCAAAGTGAGAAATGACAAGTTTGGGGGAACTGTTTACAAACACATGTCCAATGTGTCTCATACTGAGCATGGAAAAAGGGTCATGTTTAAAATGCTGCGCTAAAACTGTCTGACAACAAGATCGTTTTATTAGTATGTCCAGCACAGCTCTCCATGTTCTTCCTCATCAGTTCACCTCCCCAAATATTTGGGAAAAACAGTCACACTTTCCAGGCCACCTCTAAGTCAAACTGACTGCACTTAAGGGAGAGGAAGCTATTTCTCAAGACAGTACCTCCTATGAAAACACCGTGACAAAGGTTTTGCCATTCAAACCTGGGAGAAGTTAGCACAAGTGGCTCATATATCCTTTACTAGGACAGGAATAAACTGCAAGAAAAGGGGCTCTCCAGTATCTGAAACCTGCAGCCTGAACCCAGCAATGTCCTGAGCTCCACGTGGAAGATAAATGCAGGTGACACATACCTGTACTGCAGTCAGTGTGCATCTGAGCCATCCTGAAGTCTAGAGCCACCATCCAGGTTGCTTACACAATGTACATGTTAGGGTCAGAACTGGTCCAGATCCTCTCTGAAGGCAGAGTCCCAGCTTGCCTGCTATCAGACTGTACATCCAGGCACCCATTACACCCTGCTCGAGCTATGCAGGGGCAGCAGCAACTGAGTTCCCAGTTCTGCTCTGGCCAAGTACAATGTAGATGTTTTGCACCCAAGCTAGACCCAAGTGACAGCCTATCACATCGGTGGAAAATACATGGATGGAGGCTCAGGATGGAGTTCACCTCAATCACCCCATGCAAGCACACCTCCTGAGTTCTTATGTTTATGCTAACACAGCATGTTGCGGAAACCTTGTCTGGAGGTGACCAACAATGTAAGCACTATCATGAGCTCATGTTTTTTTTTCCAAAGCCAATTTCTTTCAGCATTCCCCAAGCAAAGAGCTTTTCCCCAGGGTTTGCCCACTTCAAATACCCTCTTCCTGGTGGAGATCTATTAAAGTTTTCTACTATCAATACTCAGTTAGGTGTCACAGCTCCTTCTCTTCATTCATTATGCACACAGGTGGAGTCATCAGCCCCAAAAAGCAAGTAGGCCGATTTGCTTGGGGTACTCTTGCTCCTACATTCAAAGCAGCCAACAGTACCTGAGTTACGTACATATTATAGACAGCTTGAACACAGTCCCACAAAGGCATCAGGATCTGCCCTCAGAGGACTGTCAGCACTCTCAGTGACATTAGCTTTAATTTCAGAAAACAGAAATTGGCACTTAATACTTTCAATTTTCCTTCAATACACTGACATCTTATTAATAGTGCCTGTGATCTTTTTTTGCCTGATCTCTGAATCCCTTAAATGCTTATTACAATAATTAGCCTTCATGATACTGCAATCAAATCAGGCATCTGCTCAGAACTGGCCTTTTCTGTGATCCCAGAGACCCACGAACATGGCATAACCTCCTGTCATTAGCTGTATCCGTGCTGTGCAGATTTGGACATTTGACAAGAGAACTGGGCAATTTTGTGTGTAGTGGCAAGTTAATTCTTTCCTGAAACATATAATAATCAACCAGGATTTTGGCTGTGTGAAACTATTTACAACAAAAGTTCAATTATAATGCAGGAAGAGTGAAAAAACACATGAGAAAGGAATGTGTGTGTAAATGACACAGAGGAGACAAGTAAACACAGAGCAGCAAGTCCTTTGCTGTGCTGGATCATGATAAGACCTGTAATAAAGTCAAGGATCTGCTGCTATTTTTTGAATGTGATCTTAACCTGACTACTTTTGCAATGCAAACTGTGTGAAACTCATTGCTGTTAGAAGAGCCTACCACTTTTTAATATTTATTTCTTAAAGCTTGTTTATAGAGTTGTTGTGACTACTGCATGTTCACTGCTATGTACAGCAAGTTAGCAGGGCAATAATCCATTCATTCTTTGCAAGGGAATGCTAGCAGCTTTGTCTATGGCAACTGGAGATCACACCATTATCCAATCTGATTGGAAAATTCCCATGTTTCTGATGTCACTCCTACAAAAGAAATATTGCTTGATCAGTTTTCATGGCACAGAGGCTGTTAGTCACTCACACTGGCAGAATATGGTAAAAATCATCTTGGCCATGAGGCTGACTTGGCCATGAGTGCTTTGCAGGCAGCCACAGGCAGGATCTGCCTGCCTCTTGTGTAAGGTAGGACCTGCTACTGCAAACACAAATCCTTCTAGCTGGACCTTGGCTTGCCAAACATCAGCTGTGGGATGCCACATGGAACACTGGCACATCGACTGACAAGCAATTGCTTCCCAGAGAGGAGTATTTTGAAACTGAACAAAGGCAAGTGCAGGATCCTGTGGCTGGGGAGGAATAATCCCATGCACCAGCACAGGCTGGGGCTGGCCTGCTGGAAAGCAGCTCTGCAGAGAGGGACATGGGAGTCCTAGTGGACAACAAGTTGTCCATGAGCCAGCAATGTGCCCTTGTGGCCAAGAAGGCCAATGGTGTTCTGGGGTGCATTAGGAACAGCAGGTAGAAGGAGGTGATCTTCCCTCTCTACTCAGCCCTGGTGAGGCTTCACCTGGAGTGCTGTGTCCAGTTCTGAGCTTCTCAGAACAAGAGAGACATGGACCTCCTGGAGCAAGTCCAGCAAAGGGCTACTAGAATGATTAAGGGTCTGGAGTATTTCTCATATGAGGAAAGGCTGGGGGAGCTGAGCCTGTACAGCCAAGAGAAGACTTAGAGCGGGATCTATCAAAGTGTGTAATTGTCTGAAGGGAGGGTGTCAAGAGGATGGGGCCAGATTCTTCTCAGTGATGCCCAGAGGCAGGCTAAGAGGCAATGGACATAAACTAAAACACAGAAAGTTCCACCTGAACATGAGGAAGGACTTCTTTACTGTGAGGGTGACCTACTGGGATAGATTGCCTGGAGACGTTGTGGATTCTCCTTCCCTGGAGATATTCAAGATCTGCCTGGACACAATTCTGAGCAACATGCTCTAGGTGATGCTGCTTGAGCAGGGAGGTTGAATTAGATGAGCCCCAGGTGGTCCCTTCCAACCTCAACCATTCTCTGATTCTATGATTCTGTGATTCTCCTTCAGGGAGCCCTTTGGCAATGTTGGAGTACCACAGCCCTGCTGTCACCTGCCTTAAGTGAAGTTAGAGCATTTCGGTCATTCAGTGTCTAAAAAGCACAAATAAAGTCTGCCACAGGTAGAGAAGAGGAAAGAAAAAGGCATTATCAAATCACTCTTACATGAACTGGCCCAGCAAGATGATCAGATGACTCCAGCAAACAAACAACTGCTGAGGAAAGCCATCCCAATATGACCTGGGCACAAATTCCTG